ATGACGTATTCGATATGCCAAACACAGTAACAACAAAGTCTCACAATGAAGACGTGACTGGTGCCCACTTGAGCGAATTGATGAACAATGGGAGGACTGTGCTACAGTGCTACGCTTTAATCTGGGGAACAATGATTCTAACTAGTCCTGAGCACTATTGGTAAGGAGAAAAAGGTAGCATAATGACCAGCTACAATTAGTTTATATTTGCAAGTGAACAGAGATTAATGGCTGAAATATGACATCTTTGTGTCTGATGAATTTTACTGAAAATACCAGGCAAAAAGGATATCTCATTTTTTTTTGGTCCTCATTTAACAGAACCCAGATGATAATCTTCAGTTACTTCCTTATACCTTTTGACAAATATTTACCTTGAAAATAGTTCTTATCAATAAAAAATGAAAGAAAATTATCAGGACAGTAGAACTTCTTGCTTAGATGTTTACAATTCTACAATTCATCAAATCTCTGGGAGTGTCCTTTGGAAATAGCATCCTGTGAAGCCACAACTGGGTTTAAGTGGATTGCATTTTATAATCCCTTGTGTGAAGATCTGTAACTGTGTAAGTACACACTGCCTCTGAAACACTCCAACCTAGCAACAGTGCCAAGCATAGCAACAAGGGCAGCATGTGAGCAAGTTAAGCTAGAGATGATTACTTTTATTTGAATGTCTATAGATATAGTGGGGAATATTCTTAATAATGTTTGAAGAAATTTTAATATATTTTATATTTTCAAAGTAATATCCTTCCATTGACATGACATTTTTCTGTCCCTCGATTCAATAAAAATGAGACCTTGCCAGTGTACTATATTATATTCAATAAGCTTGTATTCACGATCTTGCTAGAACATAAATTGTAACTCATGAAATATGCGAAGTTTGTGAAAAAATGTTGTTGATAAAATGTTATTAGCATAAAAAAATTTTATAAATTAGTAATAGCATCTAATATTATTTTAATTTTCTGTGACTGTTGTTCTTGAAAAAGTGTATTATGGCTTTGAATTATATGAGTGAAATGAATTTATACTAGTAGTAAGTGATGAAAAACAAATGCTGCAGGGACTGGAGCAATAGCACTGTGGGTAGGGTATTTGCCTTGCACGTGGCCAACCTGGGTTCGATTCCCAGTATCCCAGCGTCCCTGAGCACTGCCAGGAGTAATTCCTGAGTGCAGAGCCAGGAGTAACCCTTGTGCATCACCAGGTGTTACCCAAAAAGAAAAAAAAAAAAGAAAAACAAATGTTACAATGAAAGTGTAATGTAAAGGGGAAAAGGATTGCCCTACAAAGATGGAAAGATTAAAGTGAAAATAGAATTAAAAACAAATATAAATTTATTTCTTTGCATTAAGGGGAAGTAAACTTTCCAGTAAAGACTTTCCTGAGAAATACTTACTGTATGAGATAATTTATATATAAGTAGGTGCTTTAAACTCTTAAGAGTATAACACTATCACTTTAAATGTAAATTTGAAATGTAACCAAATATGACTTTAATTGAAACACAGAGTATAAACACTAATGGGGAAGTACATAAGGGAAACAAACTATTTCCCACTTCTATAGTTACACCTAAGTGTCAATTTCCAAGGCTTTTAACATAAGCAAAAATTAGTTTAGATTTTACATGCCCTATAACTTCTGATACCTGGGTTCCTTCTCTCTAAAATGGATATTTCATTACAATAATAACTTTCAGTATTTATTGAAAGCTTAATAATTAAATAGTGCCCCCAAAACTTAGTTATTGTTTTTATCAACTTTGCATCTGTTAAAAACAATCAGATGAAATACTGGGTAGTATAAGCCATCCTACAAATGAATTGTGGCTGTCCCCATTACTCAATTCATTAGCATAGTTTATGTTTTCTTAAAATAAGCACTCAATAAAATTTACTTCTAAATAACTTGCAAGTCACGTATATGGGAAACTGAAGAAAACTTTGACTCATTAGTCTGAACTGATGGTGCGTTTACTGTGTTTGAGTCATCCTTACACACAGACTGTGTGAGGGCTGGGAACAGGGCTCTGCAAGAGAGCATAAGCCCAGCATGTGTGGAGGATGGGGCTGATTCCCAGCAAAAGAACAAGTGGAACAAAGAGGAAAAGAAATAAGAAAATAAACACATTTTTGCCGTTATTTTATTTTTTTTCTATAAAGGATAATCAGCTTATTCCCAAAATTATGTTCCCCAATTCATACTGTTTTTTTAACTTAAATGACCATAATAATCATCACAGGAAAATAAAAATTCCAGTGAGTATCCTAAGACATTGGAAAATATCAACTTTTTATTTATTTTACCATCAATCATTTTTTCTGGCCAGGTTTCCTTTTACTTCTTTAAGAAAGTACCATGCTTATTTACTATTTTAATTGTTTAACTTAAATTGTATAGCACAGTGGGTAGGGTGTTTGCCTTGCACGAAGGCAACATGGCCAACCTGAGTTTGAATCCTCTGCCCCTCTTGGAGAGCCCGGAAAGCTACTGAGAGTATCACGCCCACACGGCAAAGCCTGGCAAGCTCCCCATGACGTATTCGATATGCCAAACACAGTAACAAGTCTCACAATGTTACTTGGCCCGCTCGAGCAAATTGATGAACAACAGGAGGATAGTGATAGTGATAGTGACTATTTTAATTACTTAATCCCCTCTTCTTCCATTATTTCATTTTTTCATTTCATCATCCTGTTATTCGTCGATTGCCTCGAGCAGGCCCCAATAACGTCTCTTTCATCCTAGCCCTGAGATTATATTCAAGGCTCTTTAGGAGAATGAGACCCATCATTGTTACTGGTATTTGGCATATTGGGTACGCCACGGGGAGTTTGCCAGACTCTGCCCTGTGGGCAGGCTACATTCGGTAGCCTGCAAGTTTGTAAGTTTATCAGAACTTTTTTTATGACATCTTATTGTCTCATTCCTACTTTGGACAAACTTGCAGGCTATCTTCCATTATATGTTTCAGAAATGGGGAGGGTAGGCCTTGCTAATTTGTTCAACCTTCTTTTCACATAGATTCCTCATGAATACCCCTCAGTGAATACAAAAATCCTAGTCTTTTTTTTTTGATAGCCATTAAAAAATGTTTGTTCAATGAAAAAAAAAGTGAAATACTAAATAGCAGACCTCAAAAATAGTGACTAGATTTTTTTCTAGTTGGGATTAAAGAACATGTGCTATATTTCAAGGACTTCTATCAATACAAGTGAACTATGCAAATCTGTTAAGTATATTCTCAAGCATAAAGGAACATTTTTTTCTTATCTCTATTTTAAGTCTTTTTATGTTACTCCTGTGGTTCAAGGTTGGTCAACTGTGTGATCTCTTCTGAATTTGATCTGAGAATCACCACAAAGTCAGTGACACACCAAGTCCTAACAAGATGACTAATTTCTTCAAATTTTTGAAGAGAGACGATAGAATATTGAAAGGCTAAAGTAGGTAGACTTTGAAATAATCTCTTACTATGAAGATGCATCTCCTCCAGATTTATTCCTATTGCTATCAAATTAACCACCCCAGGGAGGAGTACAAGAAGACACCATCCACTCACCTTATAATATGTCAGTGAGTCTAAATCAAAGGCACTTTAGGGAAATGTATTAGTAAATGAAAAAGGAAGAGGAGAGCAAAATATTGTAGATACTTTTCTCTTGTGCCTGGATATTATCAAATATATTAATCATAAGAACTATGGAGACAACTTTATGGTATTTTTTCCTTCTTGTTGCCAATTGAAGAACCAAGACACTTAAAATCCATTGTAATCTAGTCCCTTCAAAATGAGTAGGAGGAAAGGAGGAAGAGCGTTTTCATGGACAATGGAGTAAAAGAAAGAAAATGATGAACTAATGCTTTTGAATAATTATTGTGTCGGGTCTATATTTAGGGTTTTTCATACATTAATCAGTATAAACCAACCAAATATTAGCATCCTAATTTCATACATGGAAAAACTATTTCACAGAGAGTTGAGTATTTATCCAGATAGTTATTAAGAAACAATATGACAAATTTCTAGATGGCAAATTTCTTTTTCTCTTGCTCCAAAAGCTTCTAATATAAACAAAAGCAACACTTCTTGGAACTGCTCTAAGGGATGTCTCTACTAATTTCCTCAAAATCGGTTTTTCTAAGTGTGGGTAAATAGAAAAATTTTGTCGAGTTTATTACTTGTCTTGTGAAAATACAAACAAAACACAAAGATAAATATATTGCAATGATATGTTATAAAAACATTTGATAACTTTACTATTGATAATGGTGATAAAAAAACAATGTACTATAAATTATTAACATATAGTTCAAAAGGAATATTCTACTAGTTTGGTTTAAACTAAAAAGCAAACATTTGCTGGTAAAAATTTGTTTTTCACTAGAATATGGTTGGTTAGAAGCAGAAGGTAACCCGGTGGTAGACAACCTCACTATTAGATAGGACTGAATAAGTCTATGTATGGTAAGAGTGGAGATATCTAGACTATTCAGAGCCAGAATCTCATAACTAGTGGAATCAACTATGGATCTTTATATCTACATATATTTAATAAAATTTTGCTCTTAACCAGAAACTAATTTATTTGAATATCATTTAAATGTAAGAAAACAACAAATAAAATTCTACTGGAAACAAGACAGATCTTAATGTTTCAGCTATCTGAATCGACTGTTTTATAATGAGCACAATATACCATAACAAAAATGATAATTTTAACCAAGCTTTGATAATTATAATGAAAGCAGGTGCTTTAATTCTGCTTTATTCAACAAAATTAATCAAACTAGACCTCACTTAAGATGGGATTTATTCAATAATCTTGGCTGGTAAAATATGCTCTTCCGCATCTGGTACAATCATACTACCCTACCCCTTTCCACTTAAGAAAAAACAAACTAATTCCATTTAAGTGACTATGTAATTGAGTTCCCTCCAAAGCATACATTGAAAAATCAGTATGTATAATTATGTAGAGACTCACATATTTGGTTTCCCGACCAGCTGCTCTGGGAAGAGTCGTAGGAATCTGTAATGAAAAAAAGAAAAAAAGAAAACAGTGATGTTACTAATGTAATCAAGAAACTATTTTAAAAATTCAACTTGTGAGATGTGTTCATCTTTTTTTTTTAAAATTTATTTATTTATTGAATCACTGTGGGAAAAGTTACAGAGCTTTCGGGTTTAGGTCTCAGTCATGTAAATATCAAACACATTTCCCTTTACCAATACTTATTTTTAACCCCGAACCCCAATAGACCCCCACCTCCCCCCACCCCTCCCAATTCTTGTGAGGCAGATGAGTTCTAGTTAATACTCTATCTACTTTGACTAGATAGATTGTTTCGATAGAAGATGCACAATTATTGTTTAGAGTTTACGACCCACCCCCCACAATCAGATATGCTGAAACAGCGTTGTGAAATGATTTGCTTTCTACAACTTGGTTTAAGAATAAAATGATGTCGCGCGGACGCAATAGCGTCCGCGAGGTTTTGAATTTCTGCTATTTTACTTATTGACCCTGGAAGAATTTCTATTAAAAGTTAGATAGTTAAGAGACTGGCTTCTGTGCCCTGGAGTCGTGGCCGTGCCGGAGAGCCGCTCGTGGGGGGCAGCTGGCGACCTCGGTGGGGCGTGGGGGACGGCCCACAAAGCCCCCCTTCCCATGAGGTCCCCGCCGCTCCCGCCGAGCCCGGCTCAAACCTGCTGTCCACAAGGCTCCCGTGCGGCCGCCATCTTTCTTTCCAGAGAGGAGCGGGCCGTGTTCATCTTTTTTACCATTAATACTGTCTGACAATTAGTCTCTTTTATACAAAAATCTCATTTCTTTGACAACTAACTATATTACTAAATGGTATCATAAAACTATGCTGTACTATTATTTTTTATTGCTGTTATCTATCAAACTTTACAGTAAATTTCTCCTTTTTAATTGTTGGCATTCCCTCTGAAATTCTAATCATCCCTTATACAAGTTTTAGTTATTTCATATTTCACCCAGAGGCTTATCTCTAAGCTTAGGACTTTCAGGTCCAGGGATATTTAATCCGATCTATTTCAACTCACAAAAGCATCCCTAGAATTGACTATAACAAATAAAGTACAAAAACCTCTTCCATCTCTGCTTTCAGAGTCCTGCATTATCCACCAGCTTCATTCCTCAAGTACCGTGGTACAACATTGCTTTGGTCTCACTGGGTCTTCAAAATCATTGGCCATTACCAGCCACATTCTGACTTTCTCATCTGATCACTTATTGAGTTATGTTCTTGATCATTTTCAAACCTTAATTTGCCTTTCCTCTCTCTGTCCCTATGACAATTTCACTTGCAAGCAAACAAACAAAAATCCAAAACAGAACACGAAGTAACAGCAACAAAAATCTAGGATGAACTTTGTCTCAGAACATTGCTTGTGCGAGAAAGGGACCCTCCTTCACTGCTGGTGAGAATGTCGATTGGTTCAGCCCTTTTGGAAAACAGTATGGACGATTCTCAAAAAATTCGCCAGCCACACATGCTAGGGGAAAAGGCAGCTCAGATAGAGAAGGGAGCACCAAATAAAGGGTTTTGGGAGGATCCTCCCAGGATGGGAGATGTTTGCTGAGAGTACACTATAGACCGACCATGATTTCCGCTCAATGCCTCTTTTTCAAACCACAGCACCCAAAAGGAGAGAGAGAACAAAAGGGAATTCCCTGCCACAGAGGCAGGGCGGGATGGAGGGTATGCGGGGAAGGGATACTGTGATCAGTGATGGTGGACAATGGGCAATGGTGAAGGGATGGGTACTCGATCATTGTATAACTGAAACCCAAGCACAAAAATTTGTAAGTCTACATCTGTACCTCATGGTGTTTCATTAATAAAAATTAAAAAAAAAGAACATTGCTTGAGAATTCAAATGTAGGTCCATGGAACAGTGAATACTCTGCATATAGAGACCTGGGTTTGATCCCTATTATCACACACGCATGCACACACACACACACACACACAACCAAACTTTAAAAAGACACCTTTCAAATGCAGGCTGGAATGAAGGTTGGGGGTGGAGAGAAATTGACACCAGTGGTGGTTTCAGTGCTAGAATGGAGTACGCCTACAGCTCAGCTATGAATAACTTTGTAGATCATGTTGTTTTCATCACGGTCATGATCACGGTCCTCCCATTGTTCATCGATTTGCTCGAGCGGGCCCAGTAATGTCTCCATCGTGAGACTTGTTGTTACTGTGTTTGGCATACGTGAGGGCGATATACTCTTGGTAGCTTGCTGGGCTTTCCGAGAGGGGCGGAGGAATTATTGTACTATGCACCCAATTATCATGATAACTCAATTGTATATGAAGGATGAAATAATTATATTGCATAGATTAATCACTACTACCCTTACTCCTTAAGCTTTTCCAATTATTGAAGAAACAAGAATCTTCCTGACAGTTTTTTTGAACCCAATAGTACACTAGTAACCAAAGCAGATGAAGATACTACTTAAAAAGATAATTTCAGACCAACTTCCTGAGGAACAACAACACAAAAACTCTCAACAAAATTTTACCAAAATGAATTCAACAGTGTATTAAAAAGACTCCACAGCATCTCAGGGATACTAGGATGGCTCAACATATACAAATCAATTAACATCATACACCATTTCAATAAACAGGAAATCATATGACCTTATTAATCAATACAGAGAAAGCTTTTAGGGCTGAAGCAATAGTACAATGGGTTAGGGTATTTGCTTTGCACATGGCTAACTCTGGTTCTATCCCTAGAATTCCATTTGGTCCCTTGTGCACCGCCAGGAGTAATCCCTGAGCATTGTGAGGTGTAACCCAAAAGCAAAAAACAACAGACAAACAAACAAACAAACAAACAATACAGAGAAAGCTTTTGACAAGATCCAACACTCATTCATATTAAAAAACCTCAAACAAATAGAGTTGAAAAGGAACATTCCTCAAGGTCATAATGGTCATTGATAACAAACCCACATCATCTTAATGGTGAAACACTGAACATATCCCCTCTTAGATCAGGCGCAGGGCACAGGTAGGCACTGTCTCCAGTTTTATCCAGTATAACATAAGAGATTCCATATATAAGCAATAGCAGTCAGAAAAGAAAAAGAAATCAAAAGGATCTAAATTGGAAAAGAGATCTAATTATCACTGTTTTCAGATGACATGATAGTGCACATAGAAGGCCTCAGAGTGTTCACAAAAAAGGCTCCTAGAAACAATAAACCAGTACATCAAAGTAGCCGACTACAAAGTCAACACACAAAAATACGTCATATTTCTACATGCAAATAATAAACCAGAAGAGAATGAGATAAAAGAGTCAAACGGTGTCTAAAAACCCACCAGATACTTAGGAACAAATTGAGCAAAATACATGCAATTCTATTCCATGAAAACTAGAAATCACTTAAGAAAGAGATTGAAGGCTGGAGCAATAGCACAGCAGGTAGGACATTTGCCTTGCATGCGGCCAACCCAGATTTGATTCTCAGCATCCCATATGGTACCCTGAGCACTACCAGAAGTAATTCCTCAGTGCATGAGCAAAGAGTAACCCCTATGAATCGCCAGGTGCAACCCAAAAAGCAAACAAGAAAAAAGAAAGAAATCGAGACTTTAGGGAAAGTATTCCATTTTAATGGATGGCAAATATATATATATTGACAAAATGATAAACCTATCTAAATTATTTTATATATATAGTCAATGCAAGCCCCATGCAAATTTCAGTGATATCTTTCATATTCTTGTAAGACATACTAAAGTTTGTAAAGAATCTTGTTTTACCCTGAATAGCCAAAGTCATATTGAGAAATAAAAAACTTGGAAGGTTTTTCATTACTTATAAATCAAACTATCAAGCTACAATAAAATGAAACAACATGGTACTGGGATGATGATAAAATCTCTGAAGAACGGGTTATAATAAAAAAAACAACCCAAAGACAAATACCTATGGTAAACTATCAACAAAAGAGCTAGGTACATAATATAGAGTGAATACAACCTCTTCAAGAAGTGGTGCTGGGAAAACTCGATAAACTCATGTAAAAAAAATGAAGCTGGATCCATATCTGAAACCTTACATATAAGTCAATTCAAAATGGATCAAAAGACTTGACTCCAGACCAGAATCCATAAAACACATTGATAATAAAGGACCAAATATCTAATAAAGTAGGTGTGTCACTTGCCTTGCACACAGTTGGCCCAGGTTCAATCTCCAGCACCCACCCCATATGGTCTCAGAGCCTTGCAGGAGTTATTCCTTGGTGCAGATTTTAGGAATAAACCCTGAGCACAGCTGGGTGTGCCTCCACTCCCCCCAAAAATAAGTAAAACATCCAAGATTTGGACTTTGGTGAGTTTATGATATCATTCCATTGCCAAAAACAACAGAAACCAAAATAAATAAATGGGACCACATCAAATAAAAAGTTTTGCATGGCAAAAGAAACATGGGCTAAAACTAAAAGATACCTGACTCGGGGAAAGTATTCACACTCAAACATCAAATAAATGATCAATATCTGGTCAATATCAATGACATATAAAGTACTCATGAAGGTCAACAACAATAAATCAAAAAACTATAAAAAATGGAGAGAAGAATGAGCAAACACTTCTCTGAAGAAGACAAAAGGATGCCAATCGGCAAAGAGTGCTCATTATCACTAATTATCAGGGAAATTTAGATAACAGAGACAATAAGATATCATCTCATACCAGTGAGAATGGAACATACTAGAAAAAACTGGAAACAATCTGTTGGGGACCAAATTGGTGAACTTTAGAGTGAGTAAAGTGTATACTGAATAAACTAACTTTGTTTCAGGTCATAGCTGGCAGTGCTCAGGTCGTACTTCTGTGCTCAGGGATCACTCTTAGCAGTGCTTAGGAAATATATGCAGTGACAGAGATGGAGCCATAGTCTGCAATGTACAAAGGAAGTACCTGAACCCCTTTCCTAACTTTCCTGCCCCCGACTGTTAAAAAAAGG